TTGAAGTAGAGTACCTTGGGATTTTCTGGTTTGAGAGAAACATAGTGTTCATGCACAACAATCCAGTCTGGGACTGAGCCCCTGGGAGAACAGGACGACAGTATGGCACTTATATTAGAAGGAAAAGGCATCCACCTGACATTGGGACCTTGTTGGTGTCTGGCACTTGTGTGGATGTGTCCATACAGGCTATCTTAAATTGTTTTGTACACAAGTCTGTCCATTTTTACTCTATGTCCTTTACTCCATTGTTCTGGGAACAAGAAAGGATCCAACCTCAGAGTCCTTAACCACTAAGTCCTTCCTGCCTTGCTTGTTGGCTGTCTTCAAAATACAAGACTTTTCCGAACAATTCTTGCAGAACAAAATTGTCCAAATCAGCGCCCCTGCACCCCAACCCCACAGCTACCTTCTGAGTGAACACCAACCCTTGCCCTGAAGAGCTCGTCTGAAGTTCTTAGTATCCACATCATGGCCCACAGCAGACGCAAGGAGACACTTCAGTAATTGAAAGCATTTAAGAAAAGACTGGACAATGTCTTACACTTCTAAACACTTGGGGTATGAGTGGATCTCTTTGGGAAGGAGGATTCCCGACACTCAGCAGTGGCCTGTCACTTAGACTTGCCCAGAAGAGGCCACTTGGTAAAAAGAAAAGGGGTCAAGAATAGACACTATGAATTTGGGGTCTCCAAGAGCCTGTTACCATTTTTTTTTTTTTTGGTTTTTCGAGACAGGGTTTCTCTGTATTGTTTTGGAGGCTGTCCTGGAACTCACTCTGTAGACCAGGCTGGCCTCGAACTCACAGAGATCCACCTGCCTCTGCCTCCCGAGTGCTGGGATTAAAGGCATGCGCCACCAACGCCCGGCTGAGCCTGTTACCATTTTAAATTCATTTTATATCTGCAACCAATGGTGATTGGGAGTTCAGGAGTGAATAGAGCAGCATGATCCAAAGGAAACTTCATCTAGGTTGTCTGGGGACCTCTGGGACCCAGAACACTGTAGGAATAAGTGCACACAGTATGGCAACATGGCTGACATCAGGGCCCATGAAGCTTCAGATAGTCCAGTGATGGCCAGGGACATAGACGGGGACTCTGTACATCATCTCCTTCCCATTTACTTTCTAAAAAGAACAGAATTCACATTTAAGCTAGAAATGTTGGTGACGTAGGAATATCTGTGAGTTTGTCAGGCCATTGGGCATCAATGGAATCACTAAGGACAGCTGTGTCTGAACCCAGGCAACCACCTGCCTCTCAGAACAAGAGCCATTAGGTCTGTGTCTGGCACCATCAAGGAAAGAAGAGGGGACTGAGCAATGGGAGAAGCTACCATTTTCTAGAGGCCTCACTGGGGACCCTGGCCATCCTTTCTTGAAAGCAGCAGGTGAAACAGCTCAGGAAAAGTGTGTACTCTTAGGGAATCACACCAGTCATTCTTGATATTTGAGAAGTATCTGAACCTCGGGATGTTCTTTATGTAAAAGGAGTAGCTACTATCTATAGGGAGCCCTGGTGTGAGAATGAGAGACACTGGCCAGGTAGACAGCCCATGCAGGGAAACAGCCCCTTACGGAATCTAGAGACTTCTTTGTCCAGTTTTGGATTGATGGGGCTGGCACAAGTCTTTGTGGACAAGTCACACCACATCTCTGCATCTCGGTCTCTTCATCTATAAATGGCAAGCTGATTTTCTGAGACTCCTAATTCCAAGGTCACTGCTAGTTCCTTTGTCCGATGCTGATTCTGACTTTGGGATGCACAGAGCCCCTCAGCATGCATGTATGGAGCAGCTACATGAGGCAGAGAGAAGCTGGCACCGTGCTTGGGGCTTCCTGGCACAGGGAGAAGTTTACAAGGCCGAGCATCAGATGGGAAGATGACAAGAAGCTGTGTCTTTCCTGTGTGGCCTGGGCACAGTCCCATTAGGCAGGTACTGGCTGGAGACTGGGAGTCTTTAGCCTCTACTGCAGCACAGCTCCAAACCTCAGCATTTTCTCAGGACTGGAGTGTACCTGGGAAAGCTCAGATCCAGTCAGTAGCCTGCTGGGTACCACCAACACAATGGTGGGAGTCTTCACGTCCACAGCTTCCCTTAGTAGAGTCTAGTCTCACCACAAATTAGGAAGCTGCTGTGGCGTGTGGCTATCGCATATTGTGACTGACAGACATTAGATATTTAAGGCTGGGAGAAACCATCTGTGCCTATAGAGTGTGTCTCCGGAGAGGCTAAAAGAGAATTCTGGATGGGAAGGTCTGTGACAGTCACCAGATTGCCATGGGGGAGTCTCAGTCCCAGACTTATAATGGTCTAGAGTTCCCTCTCCTTGCCCTACATTTGCTCAGAGCCCCAGAAAGAGGGAGCAAATGTCTGCAAACAACCCATGAAATTCCCAGCCATCTATACCCCTCCTCTAGAATGGGGTAGGCGAGAGATCCTGGGACACCGGGACAAGACAAATCACTTCCTTGTCTGTGTCTGGGATATGGAGTCTGAGCCAAAGATGCTGGGACAAGTACTGAGACAACCTTTGAATGCTTTGAGACTAGTGGAAGGGGTTGACTTTTTAAAATGTGTATATTCAAAGACAACTAATGAATACTTCTATTGCATCCTCCAAAATGAGTGTTTTCTCCAGATCTCAGAATTGCCTTCTTTTGAGATTAGATTTTGACACTTTGGCATTTAGGATGAGGATTCCGTAGTAGACAAGCCCTGTTTGTGCTGAAGGCAGTCCTCTAGTGTCCCCTGGTGGCTAGTACTTGTTACTGCACCTTTCACAACCCAATTTGCACCAAGTTCTAGCTTTAAATTACCTTTAACCCACCTGCCTTTGCTTACTTGTGTGTTGGCACTCAGAGACTTCCTAATCTTCTAATACAGTGTTAGTGACAGAGTCAGATCTATTTTTGTCATTGCCTAACTCTCTCCAGTTCTGTGAGGTGCCTCCCCATAACTTCCACAGGACATATCATCCAAAGTAGAGATGGGGACAACTGCGCATCCTCTCTTGTTGCCACTTTTCTGGGAATTTCCCTCTAAAAAGAACCGTTTAGTCAAAACAGTCACTTTTGGCTTACTAGAGTCCTTTTCTCTGTAACAGTCTGTTCACACGATTCCAAGGGCCCACCCCTCACCTGTTCTCTGGAGACAGGAGAAGCAGATCGTGGTCCTGTGGGCTGAGCTCACACACCTCCCTACCCACAGTGCTGATGGTGTGGCTTACACAGGGCCACCTTAAGGACAGAGAGGAAACATTGGGCTCAAGCTATGATGCTCAATGCAGCCACCAAGACTTGACAATGCTGGCCTTCAGGAGGTGGTGGTATTTCTTGTTGTTTTGATTGTTGTTTCAGTGTCTGGTTTTTGAGACAAGATCTCGCTATATGGTCTAGCTGAAGTGAAACTTGGAGGCGTTTCTCCTGTCTTAGCCTACCACGTGCTGGGGTTGCAAGCGCACACCATCATGCACTGAGGTAAAGGTGAGTTTTAGAAGCGTTTTGGGTAGGAGTTTTTAGTAATAGGAACTGCCATTCCCAAAAGTGTAAGCCAATGTGTGTTAAGGGTGTGCCTCCGATTACAGAGCACACTGAGAGTCAGCAGTCAGAGGCTAACCCAAGAACTACACAACGGCCAAATCACAGCAGGCTATGTTTGCGGGATATCTAAGGATGACAGGGGTCCTGAGGGAACCACCAGTGACATGGCAGGTGGAGATCAGTGGGGACAGATGGTGGCTGAGAGGCATTAAAGAGCACGATTCAGGGAAAAGGCACGGAACCCCAGAAGAGGCCATCCATCGTGCAGATCCCCGGCCTGTCAGTTTAGCCAGTAACAAGCCATTGGGCACTTCAACTACACATGGTTCCTGAGCCACACTGGAGGCCCCAGAGAAAGCAAGGAAGAGAGACAGAAACAGTATGGCAGCGAGGAGATGCGGAAGAGCTGCAGAAGGAGGCAAAAACTAAGGGAACAGTGTTCCTAACAAACACTCACAAACACTAAAGGAACAGTGTTCCTAACACTCACAAAAACTAAGGGAACAGTGTTCCTAACACTCACAAAAACTAAGGGAACAGTGTTCCTAACACTCACAAACACTAAAGGAACAGTGTTCCTAACAAACACTCACAAAAACTAAAGGAACAGTGTTCCTAACACTCACAAACACTAAAGGAACAGTGTTCCTAACAAACACTCACAAACACTAAAGGAACAGTGTTTCTAACACTCACAAAAACTAAAGGAACAGTGTTCCTAAAAAACACTCACAAAAACTAAAGGAACAGTGTTTCTAACACTCACAAACACTAAAGGAACAGTGTTCCTAACAAACACAAACACTAAAGGAACAGTGTTCCTAACAAACACTCACAAACACTAAAGGAACAGTGTTCCTAACAAACACTCACAAACACTAAAGGAACAGTGTTCCTAACTCTCACAAGAACAAAGCCAGCAGGGCGGTTGAGTGAGGCATGAGCAAAACAAAGGCTGACAGGACATGGGAACTTGGGGTCCTTCAGGATGTCTGGGACAGAAGCCAGACAGCAGAGGACACTAATGAGCCAAGGGAGAGATAGTATCACTTGGAAGCAGTCCTCTGTCTACAGCGTGGTTCTCAGCCTTTGGGTCACGACCCCTTTGGTGTCAAACCACCCTTTCACAGAGGTCACCTAAGACCATCAGACAACACAGATATTTACACAATGAGTCATAACAGCAGTACAACTGCAGCTATGAAGTAGCCACGACAATAATTTTATGGGTGGAGCTCGCCACAATGTGCAGAACCGTATCAAAGGGTCTAAGCATGAGGAAGGTTGAGAACCACCGATCTAGAAGCTCCACCGAGGACGAAAGTGGAGGGAGGCTGGAGGACAGCAGGAAGGGGGAAACACAGAGACAGAGAAGGAAGCTATTTTTATTTCATTTTACATTCCAACCACAGTTCTCCCTCCCACCCCTCTTCCAATCCCCCCTCGCCTCCCACTCAGCCCACCCCGAGTTCACTCCTCCCATGAGGAGTCAACAAAGTCTGGCACAGTAGGTTGGGGGAGGACCAATCCCCTATCCCATGATTAACGCTGAGCATGGTGTCCCCCCATAGGAAATGGGCTCCAACAAGCTAGCTCATGTACCAGGATTGTATCATGGTCCTACTGCCAGGGGCCCCTCAGACAGTCCAAACTTCACAACTGCCTCCCACATATGGAGGGCCTAGTTCGGTCCCCTGGAGCCTCCCCAGCTGCTGGTCTAGAGTTCATGAGTTTCCATGAGCTTGGTTCAGCTGTATCTTTAGATTTCTCCATCATAATCTTGACCTCCTTTGCTCATATATTCTCTTCTCCCTCTCTTTGACCAGATTCCGGGAGCTCGGCCTGGTGCTTGGTTGCGGATCTCTGTGTCTGGTTCCATCAGTTACTGGATGAGGGCTCTGTGATGATAGTTGGGGTATTCACCAATCTGATTTCAGGGGTAGGCAAGTTCTGGCATCCTGTCCACTATTGCTAGGGGTCTTAGCTGTGGTCCTCCTTGTGGGTTCTTGAGAACTGCTCTGGCTCCAGGTTTCTCCCTAGCCCACAGTGGCTCTCTCTACTAAGGTATCTCTTTCGTTGCTCTCCCACTACATCCCTCCCCTGCTTTGTGGTGGAAATACTGGGGTCTCTGTGCCATGGGATGAGAAGACCCAGCAGTGTCTGCAGGATGCAGGGCCAGAGCTAGAGAAGGAAGATGCTCTGACTGGAAGAGGGGCCCCGCAGCCAAGGAAGACAGGCCTCCTCCAACGAGCTGGCGTGGAAGAGGAAAATGGGTGCCTCCTCCAACGAGCTGGCGTGGAAGGGGAAAGTGGTGCAAGCCAAGGGCAGGTTAACTGAAGGTAGGGAGGGAGGAAATGCCATACTGCAAAGCCCACCTAGTAAAGTTCCCGTTGAGACACATCTTGGTGAGGCCATGGCATCCATTCAATAACTGAGTGGAGATTCGAAAAGACACTGGGAGTCTATGGCCGCACATTGGCCACAACTATGCAAAGGGAAATTGTGCTGCTGGGTTCAAAGTGCAAACACAAGAGGGTGGGCTTGGATTGATTAACAGAGCCAAACAACTGCACTACAGCACCCATGGACGATAGTCTCTGCGGTGGTTTGAACACGAAAGCTCCCCACAGGTTCCTGTTCTGTGCTCTGTGTTCCCAGGTTATGGCACTCTTGTGAAGCCCCTGGGAGCCTGCCTGGCAGCAAAGCAGTCACTAGGGTGGGCCTTTGAAGTCCCCCCAACCCCACCACCACTCCACCACCACACCACCACCCCCAGCTCGACCCCCACCCCCACCCCCCAACTCAGCACTCTCCATTTCCTGGTCCCACTTTGTAAAGCAGTCACTCACAGGCTCTTGCTCCTCCTACAATATACAGGCCTGCCAGGCCTTCTCACCTTGACAGACTCTGAAATTATGAACCAAAATAAACCTATTGTCCCTTAAGCTGCTTCTGTGTAAACATCACCACAGCAGCGCAAGAATAACAGGCATGTTTTCCATTTGCTAAAAGGAGCTGGGAGACTTTGAAAGCCAAGGAATTGGGGCTATCAATATTTGGGGATTTCTACCCTACCATCTACTATTTCACCCCTGTCTAAAGCTATGAAGCCGTGAGTGCCTTGGTTATTGAAACAAGGTCCTCTTCTCTGATATATATTTTTTCATGTATTTGCAAGAAATGGCATTGTAATCACAAATTGGGGCCAGTTCTTCGAGACTCACTGTCAAAATAAAATAACCAAAAGGCATGGCTGCAAATAAGGCTCATAAATACCCCCAGATATGTGGAGAAACTTTGTTGAAGGGAGCATGAAGACCCCTGACAGTGCCTGTTTCTGCAGGCCGGGGATGGAGGTCAGAGACTGTCTTGAATGGAACTGGAGCAAGGCTTAGAGCTGCTTAGCAACCCAGGAAACCACACTGTGCATAACTGATTTCCATCCTAAACCCCAAAGAGAAATGGTCTTCTCTGTGCTTCTCATGTAGTCCGAACCAGCCGTAAATATGACAAACGCGTGTGATTAAAATTGTATATTCACGGCATGTGTTGGTTATTGTACAAAAGCATGTAGACAGTTGGTGTCACAATCCCAGCTCCCCAGGAAGCTGGGGCAGGAAGATCACTTGAAGCCAAGTTTTCAAAGTTACCCTGGACAACACGGTGAGATATTGCCCTTGAAAACATTACAAAATACAAAAAACAAAAAAAATCTAACTGCTGCTTGGATTTGTAAAGCCTCATTCCTTATTAAAGAATTTTGTTTCTGAAATAAATCTAAGCAGTGTTCACCTGATCAATCCACTGGCTGTTTACAAACCACATATAATTTAACGATGTTTAATGGTGCTGTGGATACCGTGTGAGGTTAACACACTGAGAGGTGTAGACCGAGCTCAGCATGCCTGAAGACCTCAGTGCGCATGAACCAAACCCTTCCTCACCCCCATCTCAGGCTCTGCCAGTCCCCACACCTCCTGCATCTTCCACCCTCATATCACGTGTTTACGCACTATAGCTGGACAGTTTGGCGGTGCTACTAAGTGTATTCCGATATGCAGCCATCATCGGCTTCAGAGCCCTCTCCTTACCCCAAACGGCCCCCCTCCTCTGTGCATTCCTTTAGCTCAGCAAACCTCTGGCCTGCTTTCTGTCTCTCTATTGTTTTGCTTTTCTAGAAATTTCATATAAATGAAACCATACAATAGTTGTCTTTGATGTTTAGCTTCTCCGTGTAAAATACTGTCTGCGATGACTGCCCCTGTTTTACAAGTGTGTATAATTCATCCTTTAGTTTTAGATCTCCTCTTTGGGGGCAACCCACTTTAAACCAGTTCTGCCTCCCAGGTGAAGTGTGGAAGTTTCCAGGTTTGCTGTTGGTGTATTGGTCCCCACTACAGCTTACATGGGCTGTCCTTCCCCAGCCCTAGAAGCCTTGCAGCCTCTACAGGAAGGCTTCTGCATTGGTTTACCCATTCTGTAGGAAGGGTAAATGTTTATTTGTGAAACTTCCTTTGTAGTCACTCGGTATGCAAAATACTGGATGACTGTGAAAAATGGATCTCCCATTGAGAATTAGAGTAAAAATATTGCTTGGGAAAACATTTATTAAGTATCTGTAATAAGACACTGAAGAGTCCTAAATAAATTAATAGTATATGTGGGTCCACAAAGATCCTGAGATTCAGTAAGATGCTCTGCAGAAGACAAGGCTAAGACCCTGGGGAGAAAGTTAACTTTCCCCGACTGAACATGAAGCAAGCCTGGTGCTAGCCTGGTAAGCCCCATTTTCCTCTGCACCAGAAGCCCCACCCCCAAGTTCCTCTGCAGCTCCTTGCCCTTTCCACCTCTCCCAGGTCCTGCCAGCAGGCCCCGCAGAGCTCATGTAGCTGGTGACCTCTCCCACTTCTCGCTGGACACTGCAGGACTGTGGCGGACACCGCCCGCAGACACTGTGCCCTTCGCTCTGCTCATTGTGCAGTAATGGACCAGCTGGCTTTCCTCCAGGGACTGGGCTCCAAATGCAATAAAGAAAGCAACACCACCAACATTCAGTGGCACAAATGTGACCGGAGCATCTTGCTGAAAATCATGTAGATGGCCCAGGAACATGTGAACTGAATTTCTCTCAACTCACGTGGGAAGGACTGTTATAAGTCAGAGCAGCGAGGACAGGTTGCCACGGGGCCCCGGCAGTCACAACTCTTAAGAGTTGTCATCGCTCCCGTTCCAGAGCCTCACTCTGAGTACTCCATCCTGTAAGCCAGCTTTAAGGGGCTCCTTCCTTCAGAAGTTGGCTGTATTTCTAACTGGCCGGTCCTGGCTGTCCCTATGCCCAGGCAGCAAAGCTGCCCTTTGAAGGACGAGTGCCTCTGCAACATGCACCTGCTTGGGGTTCATTCCTTCACCCATGTACTCAGCTGCTGATGTGAGCAGGGACCAAGGGAGCACGGTTATAGAATGTTCTGAGGCTCAGCTCAGCAAAGAGTATGACAGCATGAGTTTCCTTTCGGCAGAGATTGACTCTGGGCTCCAGATCCCTCTCTAGGATAATCTCAGAAGACTTTCCCATTCTTACCCACTTCCACCTGTGCAGTGGGCAGCAGGGCCCGAGGAGGCCTACAGAGGTCTTGCAGAAAAGTTCCAGTACCTCCATGAGGTTGGGCCTAAATAGGAAAAAAGAAAGAAAATGCTTAGGCAAATATATAAATTCTGCATTCTTTATTCCTGTTAGGCAAAATGCCCTCGAGGATACACAGGGAGTGTCTGTAATATTTCTATGACTGACTGTCAGTCTACAAAGACTCAGAATGCAGAGTTTAAGTGGCCCCTCTGTGGTCTTCAAGATGGTAAAGTAGAAAGGCAGGGACAAGAGTAAAAGAATGTAAGAGAACAAACAGTATTATTCTTACATTTTTATATACTCAAAACCATTTTAACATGCAAAGTCCAAAAACCATTTTAAAATGCAAGCAACTGTTTATTGGTAAGGTTTTGGTGAGCATGGCACTGGGCATTGGTAGACACTGGCTTTCTACATGACCTTGGGCAAGTGCTTCCTCCCAGCCCTTGCCCATCTGTGGCATAATGATTCAGTAAAGGAGCTCTCCCCTTGCTTTAGGTAGAGTCCCTCCTCGGTGGTCCTGCATCAGCACCACTCCCTTTATCTTCTCTTTCCCCAAAGCGACTCCAGATTACTATGCAGATCACTTCTCCCACTTTAGAGGATGCTGAAATAAAAATTAAATGAATCAGTGGTGCAGATGCACAGACCATGGTAAGTCCTCAGGAAATAGCAGACTGGCTGCCGATAGTCCCTCCTGTCCCACAAAGCAGAAGTTAGCTACTTAAGTACCTCCAGCCCTCCACACAAGTCCCAGGCCTCAGTCTGTGGAGCCAGCATGTAGCCTTTGACAAAAACCTGAAATGTCAGCGTGGGGCTTGGCAAGCATCAAAGCAGAATGTTCAGGCGCTCCGCTTTCTTTCATGTTTTATTTCCTTTAAAACTGTGGTTTTCAAATCTTAACACATACCAGAACTGCCTGCAGAATCCCTAAGAGCTCGAATTGACTCTTTCCCTCCCCAGCACTCTCATTTTGTGGGGCTGGCGTAGAAAACCAGTGAATTGTGTTCCTGCCACTGTCTCAGATGGTATGGAGGCTGCCTGAGCCCAGGGGACAACTACTTCCCCAGGTCCCAGGGCAAAGCCGACTCCAGGGCAGCTTGGCCAGGGTGACAGAAGCAGAGTGAAGGAGCCAAGTCCTATAAAGGATGAGCCACATCTCCCTGACAGGACAGCTTTTTCTCTTTTCCTCTCTTCTGACATAGTACAATGCTCCCGTAGTCACCTGAGGAGGCTCCGGAGCTGGGAGGCTGGACCTCAGGTACAGAAGGTGTGGCAAGGCAAAGGGATGAAATGTTGGCTCCAAGGACAGAGAGAGGGGAAGGGAGAGTGGAGAAAAGTCCCCAACACCCAGGACACACAAGATGGAAGGGAAGTGACAATGCAGTCAGTTCCAGACTGGGTTGCTGGGAGTGTGTTCTTGGGTGGTTTGGGGAAATGCGTAAGTTGGAAGATGCCCCTGGCTGTGTTTGTCAACACCCTTGTGCTCCAGCGGAAAAGGAGGTGGAAGATGAAGAATAGCCAGTTTCTATGAAGTGTCAGTGCCTAGGCCCGTGCTAAACGCTTTGCATATCCTATCTCCATGGAGTAGCCCTGCTCCCACTCGTACACTGCGAGTGTCGTGTCGGAGCCACACTGCCTAAGGTCTGGCCCCAGACCCTTGCCCTGAATCCTGGGTTGCTTCATAGCTTCTCCAGCTTTGTCATTTCCTGTAAGTATTGGAATTTAAAACAGACAAACTTCTTTGCTTCCCAGTTCCTCTGTCAGTAAAAGGAGTTACAGCAAAGATTCCCAAAGGAATTTTAGAGGCTCAAACATAATAACAAGGGGACACTGCTACAGGAAACATAAGGTCTTCTATGTATCTCAGCCACTAATCTAATGACTACAGTAACAGTTGCAGCCTCTGGACAGCTTCTTGAAGGCATTCACTCAGTCCTGGGAGACACTGAGTTAACACTTCATCGTATTTTAAATAAAGCTATTACCCACCAGTGTAACTAATGTTTTATTATTACTAATTCTGGAGTCATTGTAGCATGGAGCCTGAGTTTAAAAAGAATTTAATTGAAGGCCAAAACATACTAAGTAGCAAATCCCTACTTTATAAATAATTTTGTTTCCAAATTCCAAGTTGGTGTAAAAAGTTATTTTGGCTGTATTCGATTTTTCAGTGTTCGGTATAAAATGTTTTGATTGTGGCTCTGTGTGGAGTCCTGTAACACTTATAAAACACCAATAAGCACCAATTACCTTTGCACAGTGCCAAACAGCAGGCTGGAGAGTGGCTGGGCTCCCTTATTAGAGATTAAAGAAGCAAGCCCAGGTAAATTACCTGATATGCTCAGATCAGTCAGCACAACAAGGGCTGCGACAGCTCTTCAGGCCTGGATCTCTGTCCTCTACCATGCCCACAGGACATCTGAGGAAAGAAAAAAAAAAAAAACACCATCAACTTTCCCCTGCTCCCACCAAGGCATCACTTTTCTTGTGTAAGCATGTACTGGTGGTGAACTGAGAAATACCCCTGGAAAACAAAGATGGTGTCAGAGTCACAGGGACCTGCAGATCCTAGGGATGCAAGGCATAGGCCTCTAAAACACCCACCAAAAACCAGAAGGGGCTGGAGTCCTGAGTCCTTCTCGGACGTTCTAAAGTGAAAGTCTATGTCTAGTTAGTTCCAGAGCTTTTGGCAGAAGACACTGGAGGACCAAAAGGAAGACAGTTGTCAAGGGTTGGGAGGGATTTCTGGAGCACCAGAATGGGGAAAACTGTATAGAATTTTCTGATGAGTTCCAAGTCTAAATTATAGTTCACCCCTTGAAATATTATAGGTCCTAGAATCATCAACTATTAGAGCAGAATATGATAGTAATCCATTTACCATATGGAAAAAGCAGAGTTTAAAAACAAAATGTGACTTCAGAAAAGACACTATATTTCACTGTGACAAAAATAACATGTAAATAATGACATGTAAGTGCTAAACAGGACTCGGGTACAGTGGTAGATTTTCCTAAGCCATCTCACACAAAGCTCACAGTAAATGAGGGCTGAGGTTCAGAGAGGGAAGACCTCCTCAAGGCCACACATCCAAGAAATGGTAGACTCTAGATTCCCAACCAGATGTGTTGGCCTCCCAGGGTCATGTCTCCAACTCTATCAACCGTTACATCTCAATATGTACTTAAGAACTCCTGGTGAAGCCGGGCGGTGGTGGCGCATGCCTTTAATCCCAGCACTTGGGAAGCAGAGGCATTGGATCTCAGTGAGTTCGAGACCAGCCTGATCTACAAGAGCTAGTTCCAGGACAGCTTCCAAAGCCACCAAGAAACCCTGTCTCAAAATAAAACAAAGAAACAAACAAAAAACAAACAAACACACAAAAAAGAACTGTTGGTGAGAATAGTGGATATACTAGAAATTGAGAGCCTAAGAGCAAAAAAAAAAAAAAATTAAAAATTCAGACATCCTCACAAGGTTCCAGATGACACAGTGAAGACTTCAGCCACAACAGTAGCAGAGATGTGGCACATGGAGACATGACAGCATGTATCCCATCGACTGCTAACACCTGGCATGGAGGCTAACATGAAGATAGATGCTACCAGCCATGGGGAAGTCCATGGGGTGTATAGCATATCTTCTAAAGAGATGATGACTATGTGGAGAATGTTTAAGGATGTTTATAACTTTTCTCAACAGTTTTCGAGAACATTTCAAATACTGCTGTGGGCCAGAGAGACTAAAGCACAGTGACATTAACAGCTGTCTCTAAAAGACACAGTGAAGGTGAAATTCAAGTAACCTGCCTAGGACATTTCAGTAACTATCTTTATCCAGGTCCAAGAGGGTCTTTCTAAAATGTCCAAACCATCATTTTCCCCCAATACTCTTCTAAAATGTCCAAAGCATCATTTTCCCCCAATACTCACGCATGCGCTCTTTTAGTGACATGACGGTTTACAGGCTGTGAAGAACTGTTAAACGTGTGAGGCATTGTGACCGTCCTTCAGGTCCAGGAATAAGCGAAGCGAGTTATAGGTGCAGCCTTCAGAGCACTAACTGATTGACGAAGGTGTAAGGCACAAACCAAATGAACTGTAACAGAGATGGATCGAGATGGATAACTTCAAGACAAAGGGCAGGAAGGTCTGAAATTTCAAAATAGACTGGAATTTTTCTTCTGGTTGGAGAGACTGAGGAAGAAGGAGTCCAGAAGGCTGGAGGGGATGACAAGCTACAAGGTGATCTAGAGAGTATTCATGGATGTTCACTGCACAGATTGGCAGGCAAAGCCGAAGGGTAGGTTTGGAAGGGTATCGTCATCATTGTAAACAGAGAAGGACACTCACACTCAGGATGTGACCCCCTTTGTAAAGCAACACAGGGGAGAAAAGACAGGACTACATCCCAGATTTCCTGCTCCTCTTGTTACTGGCTTGGTCATGACCTGACAGAATTTATAACAGGAGTAGAAAAGGTACCCTTCAAATGTTGGAGGGGTGAATTGAAACTGTAGGGCACATGAGTATATATTAAAATCACATCAGAGAAACCAAGTACAAGAACTCATCAGAAATACTAGACTAAGGAAAGGATATAGCTCACTCCCCTAGACCCCAAAAGAAGTGGACACTCACTGCCACAATGGCCACGGCCCCATCCGCTTGTCAATTGACACCTCGTGTGTGCTCCAAAGACCAGCAGGCAGAGAACTCTTTACTGTCCCTGGGAATTCAGCTCTGAGAGGTTCATACTGATGACACAGTCTACACAACTGCATGCTGTTCACCTGTCTTCTTCACCCATCCAGACTGCCCCCATCAGTCTGCCCCTTCCGCGCCTGAACTGAGTCCTGGGCTTCTACCTCTTAGCTGGAACCTTCTCAGCGTCATTGCTCTCAATCCTATGATCCACAGCCTGACTCTACAGCTGGGACTTCTTTGTTCAGGAGACTCAGACCCCACGGTTTATAAAAGCAGATTATATTTACATTTCTATGAACTACTTCTGCAATCTCTTAAAATTCTACTGTAGCCTCTCTAGTCTTTTGTAACCACCATACTATAGCACAGATAGGTATATATAGATATATGCGTATAGAGAGATTTGCTTACTATGTGATATGTGATTGTTGTATGTGTCTTTTGCTCAATGTTGTTCTTGCTGGATGTAGTTTTTTGTGACAGGTTTTAATTACCTTTTTAAACTACATATTAACATAATATAGTATCACATTTTGATATTTTCACACATGTGAATTGTGTGCTTGTATCATATTTATCCCATATTTATCCCTCTTTCTGCTCTCTAGTTCTTTGATTGTTCTCAGTAGTTAATAATTCTGATTCATTTTTGTTCTTTCGTTTCACATTTTTAAAAATCTGTGATATTGGCCTTTGTGAGGTTGACTACTTTTCTTAAGGTGAAATACATCCATTTTCTACACCATTTCATACCAGTGATGACACATGAATAGCTGTGGTGTCTCCATATGAGAAACATTAATGACAGATTGGAGCTGCAGAGCTGGCTCCATGAACTTCCAGAGGAAGTGAGTTCAAATGGTTCACAAGTGCATGTAACTCTGTCGCAGAGGATCCAACATACTCTTCTTGCCCCTGTGGGCAGGGGCAATACATGTGGTGCAGTACATACTCTGAGGTACATGCACATACATGAAATAAACATTTTAAAATATGATCAAAACACCTCGGGACTGGAGAGATGGCTTGGTGGTTAAGAGCACTGGTTGCCCCTCCAGAGGATGCAAGATTTACTTTTAGCCCCTTTATTCTCATTAGCAATATCAAGGTTAGTTCCAGCATATTTTTACTTTGCTGTGGTAAGAGAAAACACCTTCTAAAAGTGACATGAGTACTTCTCATCTGCCTTTGCTTATATATTGGCATGTTTTTTATCTGTTGTAGAATGCTAAGAATGCAGTTGCAGAATATCGATTATCCTATATCTGACTCCTGTGTCATATACTGTCATAGTGAGATATTTCATTTTAGTACTTTTCTTGCATCATCTACTATGCAATGAATAATTAGCTATCCAATGATGATAATTTTTCAAAAATGTAAAACCAGCATATTATACAAATTATTATATGACAATATGCAAAGTATATGTTGATCTAGAAAATGTACCTAAAAGACCAGCATTGTCTGAATACTCAGGCAATATTTCCTGCTCGTATTTGGTGGTGGTGTTTTTATTTTATGTGTATGTGTATTTTTACTGCATGTGTGTCCATGCACCACATGTATAAAGTCCTTGCAGAAGTCACAAGAGGGCATTGGACTCCTTAGGATTGGAGCTGTATATGGTTTTGATCCACCATTGAGTGCTAGATATAGGTTTTAATTTGTGTATGCTTACCTTTCCTTTTCCTGGAATACACTTGACATTTGCTATCATTGTACATAGTTTTTGCATCAGGCTTAAAAACTTCTTTAGACTAAAAGGGGAATTGTAGCAGCATCTTCCTTCCCAATGTATTCGTGTTTGTGGCCACGCCGCTTTGGGCGTGGCTTCAGGTGCAGATGAACTGAAGAGAGAGCAGCATGAGGTGGCATGGTTCTCTATCTCTCTCTTCTTGGGTCACAGATTGGATTTGATCAGAAGGGCAGAGAACGGCTGTAGTAGTTCTTTGTTGTTGTCTTTGTAAGTTGTTCCCCAATAAAACATCCATTTATCATTTATCTTGCGTCTAGTGAACTCATTAACACCTGCCTTCACGTCATATGAGAGTTGGGAGCCCACTCCACATGGAGGGATGCTGTCTCAGTCTGGACACATGGGGAAGCGCCTAGGTCCTGCCCTGGATGAAATGACAGACTCTGAAGATCCCCCCAAGGAGGGCCTCACCCTCCCTGGGGAGTGATGTGGGGATTGGGCTGGGGGTGGGGGGTGGGGCTGGGGCTGGTGGAGGGAGAAGGGGGGATCTGGGATTGACATTTGAAGCATGAATTTTTCTAATTTAAATTTAAAAAAATTAAAAATTAAAATTAAAAAAAGATTGAAATTCTTAAAAACGGCTTTTGCCGCAGCCAAATGTCCAAGGAAAACGAGATCATCAGGCAAATTTGGCCTTTGAAACTGCTAAATTTTTGTGAATTTATTGCTATTTAACCAACTGTGACATTGTGGAGCGTCACAGGAACCTCTGTTTCTGATGTAGAGCAACCCGTATGCTACATAGTATAACTTTGTTTGTCTCATTCCAAGTATATTTTGGAGAAGCTGTATGGGATCACCAGCACCGCAAAGTACCCAGGCCATTATATATCCCATACCTGTGATTCCAGCCTTAGAGGACTTGAAGCAGTTTGAGTTCAAGGCCATTCTGAGCTTCAAAATGAGACCATGTCAAATGAAGAAGAAAAGGAGAAAAAGAAAAGAAAAGAAACA